TGAAGAAAATCTCAAAGCTGGTTTGTACCGACTGTGCTTTGCTCATTTTACATCTGTTTTTTCCCCCTGTGTGTGAAATAATTATCTTTTAGCTCAAATTACTAGTGAATTTCTGCTGACCAGTTTAAACATACCTGGAGAAGATGTAGATGCCAACTGAGCATCTGTCTTACAAAGCAGGTCAAGATGTTTAATCACCCTGCCGTGAACCACTTTTGTTTCATTTCATTCACTGATATGCAATACACTTTCTACTGAACATTTGGTTTCTTCTTGATTGACTGCAGTCTCTTTTGAAACTTTGGTTCTAAAGCCTCTTTCCAGGTCCAGCTGCTCAAGACACACTGTTTATCTTATTCTGTTTTTTCTGCTCAGGGTGCAGTAGCAAGTTTTCATCTGCAGTTCTTTTTTTTTCAGATTATCCGTAACACATCTCTCATGTATTATGTATCTTGGCAATTACTCATTTTTTGCTCTCTCTCCATCTTCTTGAATTTGTCAGATTGTTTGGTTCACTGAAATCAATGAATGATTCTATGGTTCTAAATTGAGTGTAAGGTCATATTCAAAGTATACTTAAAGATTGATGTGCTTAACAGGGTGCCTGAACAACTAAATTCTGTGGACTGCGGTGAGGTCCAGCATGGGTGCAGATTTCAGACATTTCCCTTAATAAACCTGACTTTACCTGGCACTGAATTGGTCTGTGAACACCCACACAGTTGTGAGAGGCTCTTGGTGCTGGTTGCTTCTAGTAAGGGGCAGTATTGAACAATCAAATGTGATAAGGTCTTTATGTGTCATAGGTAGACTTGCAGATATATATCTCTTTGTGCCCTGAGCTTTTTAGCTAATTTGCTTGCAAGCCTTTGTGGGTATTTGTTTTCATTTTTAATTGCCTAAAAGCTTTGATAAATCTGACACCATGTTTGTTACCAATATGATAGGATGTGCACGTAACAAACAAAAAGGTGTTTTTTCTCATAGCTAAACTTAAAGTTGATACTTGAAGGACACATAAATGAAAATACATATTTTAGTAATTATATAAACAAGCCTAAAATATGGTAAATCAGATGTTGCAAAAAATACTAAAGTAAAAATAAAGGGGAAAATGTTTCCTATTTGGTCTCCTTATATAGGTCATCTAAGTAAGCACTGTTAATGTATCAAACCCAGCTCTTTTGCCTACTTAATTGAGTCAATGCCAATACACTGAGTAGACCATATGCATAACTTTATCAAGTTGCTATTCCTCAATTATGTAACTGTACTAATTTTGTTAATATATTCTGTGGAGAATCCAATAGAATCTTGGAGAGTCCAAGATTACTGTAACATCAATATTTTTCCATTGGCAGATTGCTGGAGACCTATGTATTTAAATAAAGTCAATGAACTTTAATAAGACCAAATATTTCTTCTTCCTCTGCTGTGCTTCCTATTGAATAATAATTCAGATATTTGGACATTGCAAGCGAGAGGGAAACTCTGCTTGTGCAAAAGAGGATTGTATATCACAAATGAAAATACATTTTATTTTCATGTGGAGGGCAAAAGGAGAACACTGACTAACAAACCATTCCTTTTCTGCAAGGATGGAATTTGAGTGATGAGATGTCTCTGCTATCTTAGGTTCTGTTCACAAAGCACCCTGTAGCACTCGAGTCCACTGGCAGGCACTTCTTCAGTGGTTTAACTGTTATTTACAGTGCTGTTGAACCCTGTCTTACCCAGCAAATGCATGCAATGCTTTACCTGCTAAAAATTAAATGTGTATTAGTGCTTGGCAGAGCAGGGCCAGGACATACAGTGTGCAAATCTAATACCTGCTGTCACAATTACAATAAACCTATCTTATCTTTTTGAGGATTTGTTTTGTTTTGTTTTTTTCCCCTATGTTTTCAGATTTCTTAATTGGTTCATGGCTCTCCTGCGGTTCCACCACAGGGAGGTTTGTGTTGTCACGTTTGGAAGCATGGGTATTAGCTTGACAAGTCACCCTGCAGGTCTCTTGATACTTTCTTATTTTCCATGTGTCATGAATTAGATGTTTTGAAGATTAATTTCAAACAAAACAGCAAACAGCGTATTTAATTTCCCTTCAGGAGCAGAGAATGTCTTTAAAATAAAGCTCTTATTCTCCTCATCAAAATCTGCATGATCCCTTTCCTCTTCTTATAGCTAATTAACTGGTGGAACTGCAGGATTTTCCCAGTTTCAAGGTAAGTTTTTTTCATTGCAACTGTTTGATTTTAGCATAACTGTAAGTGTCTGTCAGTAGTCAATATTGAAAAGACAATCTGATTTCTTTACTGGTGCATATATTTTAAAATGATTTATTTGCATTGATATTACTACTGGAGTGTATTACATCTAGATGAAAAAAAATCTTAGTTTAAATTTCCATTAAGTGTAGCTTCTTATCTGAGGATTATATGTCACTGGGAGAGTTTTCTTATCACCATAATTAAGGGTGAAGAAGTCAATTATTCCTGTTTTAATGTGTCTCCATATTGAGTAATAGAGGTGTGTGTTGACTTTATAATGGAAGTTTTAAACTGAAATCTAAAAATAACAGAAAAAACTGTGGACAAAGTACAAAAAAGAGGAAAAACATGGAGTACATGGAACTACATAGCAACTACATGTTGCTACATGGACTGTAGCAACAACTTGCTGGCACTGTAGCACAAATGATGAGTTAGGTAAGGCAAGAACAGAAAACTGGTTCAAGAATAGGAAGTGGGAAGAAGAAAACTGAAGGATAATTTTTAATTTCAGATACTAGCCCTCTTGACTGGCCTTGCTTTCTAAGGTAGCTGCTCACAGTTTAGTGTTCTGTACCTTTTGAGCTGCTCGTGCTGCAGGGCAGGGGTCAGTGTGTCTGGGCAGGCAGGGCTGGCTGTGGCTGCAGGAGCTGGGGAGGCACTGCCTTGGCCCTCTCATTCTCAGCCTCGTGTGCCCTGCACTGAGCCAGGGGAAGGATGCAGGCTCAGCTGCTTCTTTCTCTGAGCCTTATTCACTGAAGCTAAAGGGAGGAAAGGTCTCTCCTTTCCCAGTGTTTCCACGGGGGCTTTTTGCTCGTGTTTTCCAGATAACTTAAAAGTTGCTCTTTTGTTTTAGATAGTTTGTTTCTGTCTCGCTAGGGAACTACAGGACACGTTCTGGTAAATTTCTTGGTTTCAAATCCCTTATCTATCTGGTTTTTTGTTTCCTGCTCTTTAACTTTAAAAGATACAATTTCATCCTTTAGTGTCTTCTCTGGTGGCTTGCTCTATCAATTCTCAGGACAAACCTTTGGAGCAAAGGCTGCTGTGTTTGTCTTTTGCTTAAGCCATGCTGGGTGCTTCTGCTCTTGGAATTTCTGTTGTAGTAGTGGCAGGGTCCTTCAGGGAGCAGAGGTTTTACAATTTTCCTTTGTGGAGTTCTGGTGACATTGGCAGGTGTCTCCATTTACAGGGATACTGTTTGGGTAGTTTGCACCTTCCTTCCAGGAGGATATCGCCTTCTCATTATAGTGTTCTCCAGTAAATCAAAGCAATGTATCATCAACTACTGAATTCCTTTTGAGGGAGGGAGAACAGCTTGCAAACCACTGTTTTTTCATTGTAGAGTTGGACAACAAGAGCTGGAAATACTTGTAGAGGCCCTTAAAATTCCACACTGTCCCCGGAGGTTTATGTGGTTTCTATAAATACTTAATTTCTTTGCTTTTCTTCAGATATTTGGCAGTTAGAAGGCAGGGAAGAGCCCAGATTAGTGTGAGATGTTCTTATTAATTATTCCATGGAAGAATATTTATGCTCTTTTCTACAAACTTCGGTTGGACTCCATGCAAAAGAGGAGTGGAAACTTTGGAAGGTTTTAAATTGTTCAAAGGTACTGCTGCTGCATTTGACCAATTAAATGCCTTACAGCTGTTGAAAATACATATTTGCATTTCTTCATTTTTGTCCTAATGTTTGAAAATTCTAAGTGATTTTAGTCATCCAGTGACTGCTTTTCAGAAATTATTAGTGAATTTTATGGGATTGACTCTTAGCATGCAAAAGATGCAACTCAAAGTGGTTTATCACTCTCATAGGGTGTAATTTATCTCTATAACATGCATAAAGGTTGCCATAGAGGAAAAAAATTGATTAGGAAACTGTGAAATGTTCATATTATTTCAAAGCTGTGAGCCCCTTTTTTTATTTTCCTGTGAGAACCTGAGAACTTAGTAGTAATATCCATTTCTGCCAATTGCATCAGACAGGAATGCTCGTTATCTCACTCTATTGCAGAATTTAACACAGATAAAGCTGTTTAGTTATAACCATACTGAAATATTCCTCCCTCGCCCTTAGGCTTCTTCCAGTCACCATCTGAGGACTCTCATCCTGACTTCTCCAGTGTGGACCCAAAGCTCCTTTTCCCAACTGGCAGTGGCACCAGTAGCTGACAAAGCTGACACATTTACTCCCTCTTGGCACACTGCTCTTGCCTGGCTTCTTGCACTGCTCTTAGTCTGATTGAAACAAACATGATCACTGAGACAAGTCTGGGGTATATTTGATTATTTGGCTGCTGATTCAGAACTGAAAATTTTTTACTCACCAACCAAGACAGGTGCTGTTTTCAGAGTAGAGAAGCGCTGTGCAAACTCAAGTCTGTGACTGAGCAAGCAGCAGGGAAATCTCCTCCTTTGCCCTCTCCCAGCCCTGACTTCGGCTGTACAGACAGGTTCTCAGGTTTGCACTTGGAAGGCAGAGCAGGCAATCTGCTGCATGGCTCATGTACTGATTAATCCTCAACCCTTTTGCTGTTTGTATGCACTTAATTGTTTTTCTGCTGGCAGACACACAGAGTTCAGCATCAGATTTTGACACACACATGCTGCTGTCCCGGAGGACTCGCAGAGTGGGCTGTCTTGCAGCTGCTGCATTTTCCACCAGTAAAATTGACAGTTACCTACTGAGTGGAGTTGCTAGGAGAAGGTGAACAGTCATCATTACAGCATATTCCTTCAATAACAACCTGTAGCGCTCGCTGATTTCTCTTCTGCAGGGATTTAGACGTGCCTTGCTACTGACTTAGCATTTGTGCAGTCATATTTTTATTGACAGGCTGGTAGATATTTATTCAATAAGAAACAACTCAGGATCAGCTAAAGAGAGGAAAGCTCTGGCATTTGAATATACACTCTTTTTCTAGGGTGATGTGGCTGATACTGGCATCTACCATCTGCTTTCCTATTGCAGCCTGTTTCTCCAACCTGCAAAGCAGAAACCAGCCTTTCTTTCCTTCTGGATTGTTAAAGCCATTCACATTTATTCTGCATGGCAATGAATTATAGTCCATTTTAAGGACTCTTTTGTGCTTCTGTGTGTATTCCTACAGCAGAAAAAGTGCATGAGAAAGGAGCTTGAGCAGTCAGTAGTATAAGTAGCTGGCTCTCCCGTATGGATTAGACTTGTGAGGTCAGAGGAGCTGTGTGTACTTGCTCTGTGCTTGGGGGGGAAGAGTGGATTTGTCTGTCAAAGTGAATAGCGATTCAGGCAGGATCGTCCCTCAGCTGTTGTAATTCTGATGTGTTTTGCCATGACAGCAGCTACTGTCTAACATGCGTGGATCTTCTGACATTTGTAGTGGACTAAGGACTGCTTTTACTTGCTGCTGAGCCTGACTGTAACTGTATCGCTGTAGGACAATAACGATGGGGGCTCGAGCGACAGAAACAACTCGGGAACTGGAAAGCGCCTCTGTACAGTACCAAATAGGAGGGCATGCAGAGAAAATGTGGCAACGACTCAAAGGAATGTGAGTAGCTTGTCTCCTTGGCTTTTTTTCTGTTCCTTGGGAAAGATAATTTTCTTCTGTTTGTTAAAATGTCTAATTAGCGAATGGGAGAGTTATCTTTAAGCTGTGAACAGTATTTGCTCCCACAATACAGTACATCGTTCTGCTTTACAATGGTGCTTAGATTAATGTCAGACTCTCTATTAGGTTCAGTCATCTCATTTAAAAGATGTATGATAAGTGAGAGTTATTATCCAAACTGAAATGCAGGTAAGTCCTTCCAAGTTAGCACTTCCATATCTCTGATATGATTTTGTAAATGTTATCTTCAGAATCAGCATTTCTGGAGCTGTTTCATCATTGTTGTCAGTATGTATGGGTAAGTATATTATTGCAATTCTATAGGAGGAACTAATACTTTCTCTTTAAGACTGAAGGTAAAGAAGTCAATATTAAAAGGTGCTTAGCTATTAGAAAGCTGCTCTGTCTGGGTTTTGTCAATTATTTTGGTGTTCAATAATGCTAGAAACTATCTCAAGGAGTATTTGAGGGCATCACTGTGTACCTGCTGTGTCTAATTCACTGCTCTCAAATGCAATTTTCATTTCAGTGCAAATGATCAGTAAATAAACATCTGCAACCTGTCAGAGTAAACTCTATCAAACTAGTGCATTCTAAACCCCTCAAATGTCAAAATCTCCTTTTCAGTATTTGCCAGGTTTTTGATCTGAAAGCTGATGTCAGGATGTTACAAATAAATGCATGTTACGCTTGTTGAAGCAAAGAAATGGCACTGTTATTTTTGCTGGGAAGATTTGTAATCCTGGATTTCTAAAGATATTCCACAGATGCTAAATAGTGCTTCAGCTGTTGAAGGTGAACAGGTTATTTTAGTGTGGAGGATTAGATGTGTCAGCTATGGCACTGCCTGTTTCCCTTGTGCATTGGGTAGAGACTCAAAGTGGCTGTGGGGAAGGGGATTTCCACCATCTGCTTTCTTTAAGGAGAAATTGGTTTGCTTGATTGGAAAGTCACTTTTCAGGTGTGCCCAGGGATTTATCATAACTTCTCTGTGATATGCATTTGAATATTTGCTCCGAATCCTATCATCACTCTGTTTATCGCATTTTTGGGAAAAATGTCCCCATAAAATCTCCAAAGTGTACACAGCAGAGCAAATATTTTGATTGTTTGATGATGTCACACATTTTGCCCCTGAGTTTCTGCTGCCAAAGGCCTCCATCAATTTGTGTTGATTTCCATTAGTGTAGGGTCTTAGCTGCTGTTTTTGCTCTGTAAGTTCTCTGTTACCACTAGACTCTTGGGTTAAAGCGTTTCCTTTCAGCTGCCTCTGGAATGGTACCATTCAACAAACTAATGCAAATAACTAAATATTGGTGACACAGTACAAGACCTCCAGGAAATAAGGTTTATGCTTTTTTAGGAGTAGTTAAGATGATATTTACATTTTGTAGTGTGTCAATAAAAAAAGAAACTTACCTGTTTGGAAACTCTGCACCTTTCACAGGCAACCTCATGAATGTTGCGACAAGATGATGCTAAAATAAATACGTGCATTTAAAAAGCAAGCAGGTTATATTATTAGATATGTGCTCAGCTGACTGTTTTTCAGACTTACCGATATTCCATTTTAATTATTCACTAGTCAATTGGAAATCACTGACTAGTCGATATTATGAACATTATATGGGGAAATTTCAAAGAATTGAAATTTCCGGAGAAGATATCTGGGCTCACTTTATACTATAAGCATCAATCATTAAGGAAAAGGATTAATTTTTTTTGTGGGCAGATATCAAAGCAGAAGCATGTTTATATATGGTAGGGGAGAGGGACAGATAAGTGGAACTGCCAGATAATCTGACTTGGGAGGAATTCTTTTATAAACAGTTGGGAGAATTGTTTCATCTTAGAGATGGGAACTGTTAATGTAACTAGATATGATGACAAATTATTGAGCTTTTAAAGTAGTGTGCAGTAGTATTTTTACACTGAAGTCAGGATTTCGTGGTTTGAATTATGAAGCTGAATCTGTTCTTGCTGATAGAGTCCATAGACCTACATAATGTTCATGTGATTTCAACACAGTTTTACAGTATTTTGCCAGTCAAGAGTGCTGATTATCCTCTTGCAAGCAGGTCATTATTTCTGAAAGAACATTGGATTTAACTTAGGTAACTATCTGAATAGTGTTCAAAAGCTGTACAATAGACCCTTATTAAAAATCAGCTTTAATTTTCTGCTAGCATTACATCTTTTTTTCATAGTAGACTTTTAATTAAAAATTTGGCAGCAGAAGTCCATTTAACCTTGTATGTCTTGGAGTATTTTTGTTGTTAGCTTGTTGGCTTTTTTTTAATTCATTTTTATGAAATAGAGGCTATTCTAGAAGATAGGTGAGTTGAATGCACTTAAAGCTAAATGAAAATCCTTATTTGAATGCCCAGTAAGAAAAGCTGTCCACTGTGGAAGCTTGAGTGAAAGAACTTTTTATAGGTTCTCTATTCTATAGGCTTTCATAGATCTTGCTAGCCTAAGTGTTGCAATAAAGACTGGGATGTTTGGAATAAAATTAAAATGATAAATAACTTTTATTTGGTTTATGATGCTTTACAGCCAAGTTCTTACTTTCAGATGGCAAGTAAAAATCCCACTCTGTTTTCCTTACACTGGAATTGCAGCAGTGCTGCAACCAAGGACATTATCTGTCAGAGAAGATATTTGAATTTCATAACTTGATCCTTAGCATTGGTGCTGATTTTATTGATGCCTGAATATAAAACACAAGCTCAGTGAAACAAGAAGTGTGAAAGAGTCGTGTAAATTTGTCTTGACTGTAGCTTCTGGTTTTTGAATTGAGATATTTTCAGTATGCAGACTGCAAGCTTCTAATGTTTTGTAGTTCATGGAGAAAGCAAAAACAAATAACAAGGAGCAGCTAAATAACTTATGTAATAGTGTGGCTTTTATAATTCTCTGCTATGCAGAAGAATAAAACCAAAAGCCATTCAAGCCACTGCAGGAACTCCAGCTGCCTGACTGAAGGGGAGTGTTGTATATCTTCCACTTCAAAAAACACCTTGTCACAGCCCAGCCAAGGGGTTCCTTTTCAGCCTGTTTAAATGCCACCAGTTACACCTTTTCTCCCACAAACACTTATTCTCCATTGGATTGAATCTTTCTTTAGACAGTAAATAAACTGCCAGCTTAAATGTATTATGGTGTCAATAGATCCAGATGATTTGCTGCCTAGGAGAGTTTGTCTTCCGCTGCTAGGGAGCTCAGAAAAAAAAGCTGCTTTTTAAAAGCATTTTGATTTGGAATGCAGAGAACCAGGAATAAAGCAGATGTCTTTATGCCTACTGGCCTTGCAGTGTTTGGTATTCTCCTTAATCTGCACGTAGACTTGACTTAAGTCTGTATTGCTCCTTGGTGTGTGAAATCGTGTGCTGTCTGTTTTGTCTTTTTGCCACTTCACTCAATGCTAATGCAGAACAGGCAGACATCCCCCCCACCATCTTTTTTTTATTTTGCAAGTAGACATCTTAGGCACCTTTGCAAGCAGGTTCTGCTATCCTCAACACTGATGGACATAGTATTAGGGGTGGGCTCCCTTTCTGAGCTTTGAATTCATTAGTGAGTAATAAACTTGATTTTCATAAATATCTGTATTTGCTAGAACTGTCTCTAATTGGCCAGAAAAATGTCTGAATGAGAAAAGTTAAAGTCCAAGATTCCAGGAACTTGGGGACTGGAAGTTCACATGTGGTTGGTATAGACTACTTTATGAAATTTTTACTGCTTTAAAATGAGAATGTGTTATTGCCATCACTGATTAAAACTAATTTGTGATAACCTCTGCGGCAAAACGGATTTGAAAAACAGTCATAAGCTTCTTTCCTTACCTTGTTCCCTTTCTTTTCCTCAACATTCAACATTAAGAAACCCTGATTTCTGCAGGAAGGAGAGTCTAAGTTGTCTTAGGTACTGAAAGGGACAGGCATGTACACCCAGTTTGTTGATCCTGCAATGCTGCAGTGACAAATTGCATGCATACACATTTTGTTGAGACAAAAAAGGAGCCCTAGTCACTCATTTGGGGAAATTTGGCTTGATGTCAAAGAAAGTAGAAAAATGGCTTCCCATGCACCTGCTGAATTATCAGAAGATAGCATTCTTTTAAAGACATTGAATAGAATCCAGATTAGCAGCCTAGTTAGGTCTAAAACAGATTAGAATGGGTAATTTTATTTAGAGAACAGTCTTTCCTTCACTAGGTCCATGGATACTAGTGGAACAGCAGTAGAACAGTTTCCAGATATGACAGAAGTCTTTCTTTTTTCAAGCTGCTTGTTTACAATTTATTTTATACTGTATTTCATGTTTGCTTATTGCCCTTGTTTCTGTGGTCTATTTACTTCAACTATAGTAGTTCAGTATAGCTTAACTGAAGAGATTACCAAAACAGAAAATATTATGATACAAAAATGTATAAATTTGTGAGTACTGAATAAACAAAAAGAGGAGAAGAGACAGAATTACAGGTGCATACCTATGGTAAAAAGTAGTGAGACAGATTTTCACTTACTGCTGACTACTTCAGGAACAAATGGGTATATAGTTCAAGTACTTTTTACTTGTCATGTTACCTATTTTTACTTTCTTGTAATATGAAAACTTTCCTATGAAGTCATAAGCTCTTAAAAGTAATCAAAATTACAGGTATTTCTAAGGGGTCTTTAAGTAAAATTAAAATTGATTTCAGAAATGCTCTAAAAAGAAAATGGAAGTTATATGATGATATGATATGTTGATTGATATGCATTAATTGCTATAAATAATAAATATTGATATGCATATGATTGCTATAATTACCTAAGAATAGTTTCATTATAAATTGTGAACATCTTCTTTTGCTTTTGAAAGCAGAGTGTGTTTCTGCACCAGAGCAGTCAGGTTAACAATTTATAATTATAATTTTGTAGCTTATAAACATGTAT